CAGCGACCGTCTGCGTGAATCAAACCATACCGAGGGGCTCATTAATGAGGGGTTTTACTGTCGAGGGGTGCGTCTGCGTTGTTGGGAAGGAATGACGAGAAAACTCCAAGCAGTGCGCAGTTGAAACCCATCCGTCTGGCCGTGGGTCTTCCCCCGCCGAACTGCACCATCGGCTTTCGGCTCAGCGCCGGCGGAGCCTGCTGGCGCCCGATGGTTCGGCCGGGGCGGGGCGGGGCGGGGCCCGGGCTGGGGGGACGTGCTGTGATGACTCGCTGGCGAACGGCCAGTAAACATGGTAGGGGAGGGGGTGGGAGAAATGACCGGAAATTTGCGCCGGCCCCCGAAAGTGCGAAACGAAGTCGACGGCGTCGTGCTCTTTTCTGTTCTTTTCTTTCCCCTCCCGTCCTCGCCCTCGCTTCCCCCAACCTCTTCCTTCCCAATTTCCTCGCAACGCATGGGAGGGGCCTGGGCAGCGGTCACAACAATGCCCCTTCGTCCTCCCCCCGGGGCGGTGTGGCGCTGGCAATAACTCGAATAACTCGCTGAAAACCTCTGCGGCACCGCCCCTATGGTGGTATGCGCTGCCGGCGCCGCCCCCGCCCTCGAGGCCTCCGAGCACCCCGCGCTTTTGCAACAATTTATGGACCGAGTACTCGGTGCGCATTGTCGGCGCCGCACCACAACCCCGGGCAGCTGCCGCGGCCAGCTGCGCCAGCTGCACCCAGCTGCGCACGCCGCGCACCAGCTGCAGTAGCGGCAGCCGTCCGCCATGGCCACGCCGCGGCCGCTGGACGAATGAGGAGGAGGCAAGGTAGCCGCGCCGCGCCGGGCCAGCCGGGGGTAAACAAACAGCAAACGGCCGCGCAGGGCCGCGGGTGGGTGGAGCCGCGCCGGCTACCCCGCGCGCCGGCAGAGGAAATAGAAGATACAAATGTAAATAAAGATTTGACACTATCAACAGAGGTGCCCGTGGAGCCGGGCGCGGCCGAGGGGTAGCGGGGCGTAGCGGGCCCGGCCCGGGGCCGCGGGGCGGTGGCGGCCACCGGGGGCGCCACCCATGCCAGCGATAGGCATCGACCTGGGGACCACCTTCTCGTGCGTGGGCGTGTGGTACCAGGGTGAGTGCCGAGCAGTGCGCCTCGTCTGGCTTTGTCCGCGCGAGTCCCCGCGTCGCTAAAGTCAACCACCGCAACCACAGGGAAGGTGGAGATCATCGCCAACGGGATGGGGTACCGCACGACACCGAGCTACGTTGCCTTCACGGCCCAGGAGCGCCTGGTGGGCGACCCCGCCAAGAGCCAGGCGGCCACCAACCCAAGCAACACCGTGTTCGACGCCAAGCGCCTCATCGGGCGCCGATACAACGACCCCACGCTGCAAGACGACCTCCACAGGTGGCCGTTCAAAGTGCGTAAGGAAGATGAGGAAGGGGCTGGGAGGGGAGGGCCGGGGGAGATGAAAGGCCAAATCACTCTCTGTAACGACGATGGCAGGTCGTGAACCAAAACGGCGCCCCGTTGATCGAGGTGCAAGACCGCGGCCGCACCCGGAGGCTGTCCCCCGTGGAGGTGAGCGCCATCGTGCTGGCGCACATGAAGGACATCGCCCAGACCTTCCTCGGCACCAAGGTGACGGACGCGGTCGTGACCGTCCCCGCGTACTTCAACGACGCCCAGCGCCAGGCGACGCGGGACGCGGGGACGGTGGCCGGGCTGACGGTGCTGCGCGTGCTCAACGAGCCCACGGCCGCCGCCCTCGCGTACGGGCAGCTCATGGACACGCGCACCACCAGAAACGTACTCATCTTCGACTTGGGCGGCGGCACGCTCGACGTGTCCCTGCTCACCGTCAGGTAGGGCACCACCCGCCGCTCGAGTAGGGGCGTCACTGGCGATCCGCTGTGACGTTCATAGTGGTGTCCATATATGAAAGGAAACTTTCGAGATGACACAAACCACCAAAATCAAATATAAGTTGCATCGTCATTGACGACCGACAGTGGCATACTGACCTTTACATTGTGCCAGGGAGGGCCTGCAATTCGACGTCCAGTCCACGAACGGCAACACGCATCTGGGCGGCCGGGACTTCGACAACCTCCTGGTGCAGCACCTGGCCGACGTGTTCCGGCGCAAGCACGGCAGGGACGTCGCGTCCAACCCCCGGGCCATGGGGCGTCTGAGAGCCGCGGCGGAGAAGGCAAAGCACAACCTCAGCTTCAGCACGGAGGTGGGGAGGGTCGGGACCACGGCAGCTGCCTCGGCGTGTGGGGTCGGGGGCTACTGGCTCATTGCTTCTGTCCCCCAGGTGAGCATCGAGGTGGACGTGCTGGTGGACGGCATCGACTTCCACACGCGGGTGTCTCGCGCACGCTTCGAGGATCTGTGTGCCTCTCTGTTCCTGGAAACTTTGGAACCCGTCAAGAGAGCACTGGAGGACGCCAAGCTCACCAAAGAGGTCAGCGGATAGGGGTGGCGGCCGCAGGTAGTACGAGGCCGAAGCCGCGTGTCTTTATTCCCCATCAGTGGGCCTCCAGGCGGTGCACGACGTTGTGCTTGTGGGAGGATCCACCCGGATCCCAAAGATCCAGTCCATCCTCCAGCGATTCTTCGACGGCAAACAGCTCAACCTCAGCATAAACCCGGACGAGGCCGTGGCGCAGGGTGCGGCCGTCCAGGTAGGCATTCGCGTGTCCCCACGCCAAAGGGCGTGCTAGGCGCGTGCTAACCGAGCCGCGTCGCACAGGCCGCGATACTGGTCAAGGACGACTCGTGGGTGATCCGCAACCTGGTGCTGCGAGACGTGATCCCGCTGTCGCTGGGCATCGGGCTGGAGGACGGCGGCATGAAGAGGATCGTCGAACGAAACACGCGGATCCCCTGCCAACGCCAGGGCGGCACCAAGACCTGTGTCGACAACCAGGCAAGCGTGCTGTTCGAGGTGTACGAGGGCGAGCGGCCGCTGGTGCGCGACAACAACCTCCTGGGCTCCTACGTCATCGACAACATCCCGCCCGGGCCGCGGGGCGCCGTCAAGTTCGACACGTCGTTCTCCATCGACGCGGACGGTATCCTCACCGTCACCAGCAGGGAGCGAAGGACGGGGGTGTCGCAGCGCATCACCATCGGCAGCGACCAGCACCGCCTGTCCAGGCAGGAGGTGCAGGCCATGCTCCGAGAGGCAGAGATGTACAGGGCGCAGGTCAGGGCAGAGCTGGGAGGCGGGCCCGGGCCAGTCTGTGCGTAGACCTCACTTCACCTGTGGGGCACCTCACTTGTTCCCTGTTCCAGGACGAGCGGCAGAAGAGGTGCCTGGAAGGCCGGCGGAAGCTGGAGAACTTGGCGTACTCCATGAAGCAGGCGCTGCGCGAGGGCGAGGGCGAGGGCCTGGAGCTGGCGCTGGTGAGAGTCGGGGGCGGGGCCGAGGCCGAAGACGGGGACGAGGAGGCCGCGGGGGCGGCGCGGCTGGTGGCCATGACCTCGGCCACGGCCGGCCCTGGAGTTGGGCGGCTCTCGGCGGAGGAGAGGGTGGCGGCCGAGCGCGCCTACCGGGAGGTGCTGGACTGGCTGGAGACCGAGCAGACCCAGGCGGAGGTGGACGAGTACGAGAGCCGGTACCAGCACCTCAAGGTCTTCTGGAAAACCTGCAAACTAGGTGCGCCTTCTTGTAGATGATAATGGTGTAGTGCCGTCGACACTGCGTCGCTGACTAATTGATGGAACCCTCCAGAAACAGAAGAAACCGACCGTCGGCAGCCGTAAATGCCACGCCATCCTGACCAACAGATGCTTACACTGCATTCCTGGATGATAAAAACAACAACAAATAAATTAGACACTTAGCTTTGATATTTACGGCTCGTACTTGAAAATCATTCCAACTCAACGTGGCGGTAATTTTCAAATGGACCTTATGCTCCCGCCAGAATAATAAAATTCTCATACCGGTGGGAATCATTTAAATCAACACACTTTTTAAAGGCTGGTCCTATTTTAAAGACAGTTTTTTTTTGCCTTAAAGTTGAAACGGCGATGAATCATTGACGGGAGTCGCTTCTTTCCGTAGATAAGACAACTTGTGCAAGCGCGCTTCGTGTTTGTTTCTTCCCTTTACTCTACTCTCACCATCTCCCACCCCCTAGAAAGCTCTTGTTCTTGTTTTCGTGTGCGTTGCAGTCAGTGCCAGTCATATGCATTGCGTTACGGCCGGTTGTTAGCAACTATGTCGGGATTTACGGAAGCCGGCCTCGTGAAAAGATTAACAGAACTTAACAACTCGGCTCAAAGTATTCAGACTCTGTCAATATGGTTGATCCACCATCGGAAGCATCATCAAAATATCGTCAAAACTTGGTTCAAAGAACTGTTGAAAGGTTAGTAATCACAACTTCAAATCCAAGATTTGCAAGCACTATTTTTTTTTATTCCAGACACAATTTTGTTGTGCTCCTTAATAAGTATGAGACGTTAAATTTGGTTTTCATTTAGATATCGACCGGTACTAGAGTGACCATAGAAGCAGGGTTACTGTCAAAGAATTTTAGGTTAGCTGCTTAGTGTTCTAACAAGTAACTCGTGCCCTCTCCGACTAATTTATAGCACCTTGTTCATAGGGACGTAAGGGCATGTTACATTGAAACATAAATATGTTGAAAAATTTCCTGGGCTTTAACGCATCATTATCGAATTTATACTTTATTGCATTCATACTATTTTTATTTTTATCTTATGTGATAATGTCCTTATCCTTGCTTTCAATTCCAGCTAAGGATTCAAAGAAGCTGACTTACATGTACTTAGCCAATGATGTTATACAGAACAGCAAAAAGAAAGGACCCGAATTTGGAAAAGAATTTGGAAATGTACTGAGGAAGAGTTTTGATGCTGTGGCTTCAAGTGGGGACGAAAAGACGAGCAATTCTCTAGACAGGATACTGACCATATGGGATGAGCGTGGCGTTTATGAAAAGCCAATGATCATTGAATTTCGTAAAGGCCTCAGTAAGTACCCTTTCTTGGTTCTTGCAAGATATTATGACACACATAGCTCATGTAACCGCATAAGCAACCCTTTTTCCTACAGAAGACGCATCTAATAATGACAGTGTACCACCAAAAAAGAAGCATAAATCTGAGCCACCAAAACCTGCTCCAACTTCAGTTGACGCGCGTATTGCTAGTATGGCAAATAGTTTGTACAATCCACTACATGAGAAAATGCAAGATAAGAAAAGAAGGCATTCAGAGACCGAGATTGAAGTTGAGGGTACAAAAGAGGTGCACATAACATTATCACCAAGAACGCCTGCTGGAGACCCTCCAGAACCAGAGGAATTGATTAAAGCCCTAAAGGTAAATGCTCTACATTATGTGGATACCACATGCCTTTCTTTTATTAAAAACACAATATAAGTTTACTGTAGGGACACATCATTAACCAAAAAATTGCTTTTTCTCTAAATTCTTTTTTGTTTTAGGATTTAGAAAATGAGGCATCAGCTGATGTAGAGGTGCGAGAGAGAATTGCTAAACTTCCAAGAGAGGTATCAGAGGTTTCGCTCCTTGAAAGACTACAAGGTTTGTATTACCCTGCATTTGATGAGAGTGCTTGTCATCAATAGTTCCCTGATACATTCAAATAATACTCTTATTTTCTCCAGATAAAGTTGCTGCTGAGCGATTAGCTGTTCAGGTCAATGACGCTGTGACCTTACTAACTAACTATATTGCCCGTCTTACCAAAGAAATGGAGCAAAGGAAGAATGTTGGCAACATGCTTCGAGATTACCTGCAAGCTCAACAGGACCTGCTGGAGCAGGCAGAGCGCAGATTAGAGGTAAAGCATTTTCAAAATAATTTCTTCAGTCTTAGCTTGTTTTAAATTACCCATTTGTTAATGAACATTTCATATTTTTTTTCAGGAATTTGATGACAAATTGCAGAAAGTGAATGGTCTTAGGACAGAACTTCGGAATCATTTACAAAATCTGCCAGATTTGACGCAGCTTCCTGATGTTACAGGAGGGTTGGCACCATTACCATCTGCAGGTGATTTGTTTAGTGCTCACTAATGTCATTTGGAGAGATACCTGTTTCTGTGTTAATATTGGGGACTCTGTCACTGTATATCCCACCAACATCTTCATCCTTAGTTTAAGTTCAGGGAATATCCTACAGCAAAGTGGTTTTTCCATGCCAATATTTTTAATAGTATATGGAATAGTAGTGTTTGTGGTGTCACCCCTAGCACAGATAGAGCACTTGACTGTTATTTTTTTTTGCATGTGGCTAGTTGTCAAGCATTTAGAATGTAGATTGAAGTAGTTTCTCATTTACCATGGTATCATCACATTATAATGTAAGCTTGAACTAGTGCTATTATCGCTGGGGCCAAGCTTAGTACAACGATTTTCAAGCTCAAGGAGGATCAGGAGATAAAATTATATTTTAATCGAATCAATATTTAAATTTGTTAATCGTCAAAATCCCACAATGAAATAAGTTGTAAATGTTCCTAGTTTAATCTACGCTTAGCAAAAAATGTTTTTAAAATTTTCCTTGACCATTGTCAATTGATCATTGTCTAATATCACTGCCCCTCTCCTCTACTTAATTTTTCACAACATCGTGAAGGATTTTTTTGTGATCTTGTTGTGATGCATGAGGGTTAACCGGTAGAACATCCTGTTGTAAATTGTTACCATTATTGTGTAGAATTTTGTTTTCTCTAACTTCGACTAGTGATGAACTTTCATCACTTCATCTTTCATGAGAATTTAATTATTCCGTGGTGTAGTATTAAAGTAATCATGGTCATTTCCCTTTCCCAATTCTAGTCATCAAAAGCATAACCCTATCATTCCATTTAAGTCTTCCTAAAAATGGAGTAGCAATTGAGGTACTAAATTTTTATAAGTCTGAATTAACAATTTCCTACTTCATTCCTAAATTGAATCCAAATCATTATGTGATCAATTTCAGTTATGATTATTGCTGTGGTCATACCTCATTTTAACACATTTTTGAATCAAGTATTAAGTTTTAAAATTAAATAAAATTTCTCAGAACTCACATGTTTGGCACCTATGTAATTATTTTTGATTGAGACTTTCCTGCTGATCCCCAGGATTTCTGTTAAAGTAATCAATTAAAAATTGAGTGATTGTTCTTTAAACTGCTTTTACACTTCTATTACTTAGATAATAATCACTTTTCCCCAGATCTGATGCTTGAGCAAAACTAGGATATAAGTTATGCATGGATTTTTATCTTGATTTTTACGGATCATAGGTGAGTGTCGGACTTCATGCTTGTACTGGTTTCTCTTCAACAGTTTAGTGGAATGTCTAATTCTATATTTTATACTTGAAACTTTTTAGGAGAAGCCACTGAAGGATCTTAGGTGGTTTGAGAACTGTGATGAAAGGCTTGACCACCTTGCTCACAAAATTTTGACAAAAAATTGACTTTGTACTTTTTGCGAATCAAGGTTTCTCATACAGCAGGTCACGCAAAATATTTGTAAACAGCATAATTGTTATGTGCTTATTGACTTTTCTTTTAGATTAGCACAATTGTTTGGTGTGACTGACATATCCAGATATTTTTTATCGGTCTAGAATTATGAATTATAAATGGCAGCTAAAGGGAAATTTTTTATGAAAATATATTAATGAGCTTGACCTGAACTTTTTGTTTGGGTGTGTAAATGTGTAAATCAATTGTTTTCCATGCTGATGTCTTAGACATATTTGTTAATGAAGTGCAAATATTTAGAATATCTGGCAAACACAAAATTTTCTTTGTTTGAACGCAAGACACATTTGCTGTTCCTTTCTTTAAACAAGGAAGATTTATCCTACTGTATTTGATGGTCTGCACGTAAATTGCCGCTTGTGTTTAGTTTGTCATGGTAATTGTGAAAATGGGATGGGCACACATGAAAACTTTAAAAAGTAAGTTGTTGCTTATGTAATGTTGAATAATGCAAGTCATATTATCATCCGGCTTACATATGGTTACATAGTTATGATATTTTAAAGACTGTACGGATGTTCAATAAAATATTATTACAACACTCTGGTATTCTCTCCTTTCATTCCCGTTTGTATTTCTGGGAAAACAAAGGTCCAATATAGCACCATTTAAAGGTGCTAATGCTTTAGTGTCACCAAAAAGGCACTTAAATCCCATAAGGAGCCAGATTTAGTACCTTAGACCCTTTTTATTGAGTCTGTAAAGACACTCAAGAGTTAAGCGTTATCACCCTCGAAAACTCCTTAGAACCCTTTAAAGGTCTGGCGTATCACTTGTTGAACCACAGTTAAAGTGGAGGTGGCGTTCTCCATTTGGAGAGATCGGCTGAGCCGAAATATTCGGACGGGCGCCTCTCGCGTTGCTGCGGTCAAGTGTGCCGTCCCGACCCAGCCGAGGAGTCCAGACGCGGTCTTAGACCCTCTAAAGCCCGCCGGGCTGGGCTGGGGTCAAGCACACGAGTCAACCCGACTCTGGCCTAGGCCTAGGCTCTGTAGCGCGGCCCTGGTCTCCCTCCATCAGGCTCCAGCAGGCGAGAGGGCGCGGTGCCTTTGGGCCTGGGCCGCCTGGGTTAATGCGAATATCAAGTCCCTGCTGTGCCCGCCCTGGCGGCCCTGGCGGCCCTGGCGGCCCTGGCCACGCGTACACAGCACGGCGTGGATTGAACAGACGATACAAGTGACGGGAGGCGGCAGAGCTGGAATGGGG